GGGATTGAGAGAGGACTTGGAGGAGAGGTAGAGATACCTGGAGTTTCCTCTTTTGGTGAGGTCAGAACCCATTTTCTTCCATTGATATTCTGCTATTTATGGCAGAAACAACACAACATAACATAGAACATAAAAGCCATAAACATGGAAGGGTGCAGACATTCACCCAACCGGAGAGGAGAAACCATGCTCTCTTTCTCTCAATTTTCATCAATTTCTTCCTTCCTTTTTATGGAGGAAGACTACACATAAAACAATAATATTTTTCTACCTAAACTATAATTATTAACTACCTAAAACATTGACTAAAATGATGAAGTTTGCTGCCATTTCTTGTAGCCCATGTGAAGCTCCATGCTGCTGTCACTTTGCTGCTACTGTGCAGTCATGTTGCAGTATCATTTAGCAGATCTCATTTCACTGCATTTTCAGCTTTCATGCCATAGCTCCAACACTCACAACCAATCATCCTGCACAAAAAAGATGTGCAACACATATATAAAAAAAGACAACAGAAGTCAAAGTAAAGTGTTATCTATTATAATTTTTCTAAATTCTCATATGCCTATTTCAATTCACACCAAGCTCTTATTACCTCATACACATCCTCCTCATATGCCAACTTTTGGGATGTTACATGTGAGAGTCCAGTAGTCTCCTTTCTCCTCAAAGCGCTGTCGTTTTAGATGTGGACACCCGCAGATGGATAGTTGCCCAAGCGAGGGAGGGAAGGCTTCCCTTGGCAAAGATTGTAGCCTCGGGCAGTTACGTATCCATAACTTTTGAAGGGAGCTTAGGTTTTGGAGGAGCCCCCCAGCTATGGATTCCAAATTTTCTCCAGACTCCATCTGAAGCGAGGTTAAAGAAGAAGGCAGCACAATATCCAGAGGGGAATTCTGCTCAATTGCCAACCGTTGAAGACACATCAAAGCCCCACCTTCGACTACTAGATGCTGAAGCAATGTGAGCTGGTACATCATATTCGGCAACCGCTTGAGATTCTTACACCACAATTCAAGCTTTGTTAAGTTTAGGGGCAAACCCCCATCTGGAATGAACTCGATACCGGGACAATCTCTCATCTGTAGCCTTTCAAGAAATTTCAGCTTGTACATCGTATTTGGGAAGGATTTGAAATTCTTACATTTGATTATCCTCAAATCCTTCAGATTCGGCGTGCATGACCCCAAATTTTCTGGTAAGGACTCCAAAGCTTCACAACTCTCAATATCTAAGTTAACGAGATTGCTAACGCAATCAAGGGTGGATAAACTTTTCAATATTTTACAGTTGTAAATAGTAAGAGATTGGAGTCCCGTACAACGCTGCAGCATCCTCTGTGGAAATGATTCCAACCAGTCGCAGTCACTAACTCTAAATTTCTTGAGAAAAGCTGGTGGCTGGTCACAATTCTCAGAAGAATACAAGCATGGAACATCTGCTATTACCAAATGTAGATTGCTATTATTATTGTCACCATCAACATCCGGTAGAGACTCAAGACTTTTACAGCCTACTATTCCCAAACGTTTAAGCGAGATGGGTAATTTGCCTCTTGGAAAAGACTTGAGAGAAGGACAATCATCAATTCTCAAACTTTCCAGTCTCGACATTGACATACTACTGTTGCTGCTACTGCTTTCATCCATCATCATAATTGCATTGGGTAATGACTTCAAAGCTCTACACTTCCAAAGGGTAAGATGCTTAAGATTGAAAGGCAAGAGGTTTTGTTCTATTTCTGCCCCTTCCTCCCACAGACAAGTAAGATCATGGCAAATTTCAATAGACAGAGTCTCAAGTGTTGTCGAAGACTGTATAAAGCTCTTTGGCAAGCAAGTCAATTTTGAAATTTTCTGAATACTAAATGTAGTGAGTGAAGTGAGATCAACCATACTCTTCAAAAGCATTGCATTGCAACCAGTAACTTTCAACTCTTCAAGTAAAGAAAGGTTGCTAGGAAATTGGCTTAACTGAGGGCAATGACAAATCCCAAGCCTACGAAGACAAGGGAACTCACCTTCACTTCCATTTGGAGAAGTCCATTCCTTCCAATTTATCATGTTTTCAAACCATAGTCCCTCTAGTGATGGAAAACAGCCTTGTCCCCCATAAAACTCAGAACCTACAGCTTCTATTGCCGTCATGCCTCTAATAAATAATTCTTTGAGAACAGGTAGTCGGCCAAGTGGTGGTAACATAGTCCATCTACCACAATAGCCGAGCATCATGGATGATAAATTCCAAAATAAGGATGGATCACAAAACCAGTTTGGGAAACTTTTTCCACCATAATAAAAAATTTCAAGACTTTTCAAATTTGAAGGAGGTTTTAACTGGTTGAAGACTTCCATTTTGATTGATTCATCTCCATCATTAAAAGGAGCAGTCTGCCCCCACTCCAAGACTAACTCTTCCAAACCATGGATCTTGTCTAGATTGGCCTCCACAGCATCTTGAACATGCAAAACATTTTCCAGATCTAGAATAGATAGGCTTCCTCGAAGTTGTGACAAGTTCTTCAAAGTAGATAATCTCAACATCATTTCACTTGCCTTCCCCACAATAAATTTGGACAGTGTTACAAGATTTTTAAGATTGCCTATTCCTGATGGCATCTCATTTAAAGAATCTGTTTCAGTGATATCAAGACAATGGAGATCAATTAGATCTCCAATCGTTGTAGGCAACTTAGTTAACATTTCACAACTAGATAATAACAGTGTTTGCAAGAAGAGAAGAGTACCCACTGAATCAGGTAAACATCTGATTTTTGTTTGAGACAAATCAATGTACCGGATATGTTTCAACTTTTCAACAAAATCTGGTAGCTTACTTATCTCAAAACTGTAAAGAGATAGCACTCTTAAGCGATTTAAAGTTGGCAGGAGATCATGCAAGATTCTGTTAGACAAATAAGAAACATGGTAGTCATTGGGCACTTTTAACGATAAGAATGCTCTCAAATGCTTCAATTCTTTCAATACTTCGAATCTTTCTGAGAATTCAAAGTGATGTGAAGTGAATGACAAATGACGAGCCTTCTCTAATTTTCCATCACCCATACTACGTTCAAGATTGCAATGTATTTCTCCAGCAACATGTACAGCTAAATCATTTATGAGGTCATGCATCACAAACCACGATTCAACTCTCCTTGACGGTTGAAAGAGTGACCTTGATCTCCTTGACGGTTGAAAGAGTGACCTTGATAACAACTCCTGAAAATATTGTTTACCAACTTTCATTTGCTTCTTTCCATGTGTCTGTTATTGTAATAGGCCCTCAGCCATCCATAATCGGACCAACTCCATTTCGTCAAATTCATAGCCTTTAGGGAACAAAGCACAATAAGCAAAGCATCGCTTCAAGTGAAAAGGAAGATCATTATAGCTCAATCTTAGAGCAGGAAGAATTTCACTTCCTGTACTCCATATATTACTGTTATATATATCTTCCCACTCATCACGACCCTGCTTTCCCCGCAGGATGCCACCAAGTGTTTGTAGTGCCAATGGCAATCTTTGGCACCTCTCAACAAGCTTCTCACCAACATCTTGTAGGTCTGGGTGCACAGCAAAGTCCTTTTTCCCCAGTGCATGCCAAGTAAACAATGGCAAACAAGCATCATTTGATAGCAATCCTAAATTATAAACTCCATCATCTCCTCTCATCATCATCCCAACATCCTTATCTCGAGTTGTGACCATTATTTTACTTCCAAGAGCTCCTGACATGAAAGGTCTCTTCAATTTATCCCAATTGCCATATTCCTTATTCCAAACATCATCCAATACAAGGAGAAATTTGTGCCTAGATAACTTCTCTTTCAATTTCTTTTGAATTGAATCGAAATCATCAAGATCACACTTTTCTCTAGTTACCTGTTCTAAAATGGTTCTTGTTATTCGAGCAACATCAAACTCATCAGAAACACAAACCCATGCCTTCAAGTCAAACCTGCCTTCCAAGTTTTCATCATTGTAAATGAGCCGAGCAAGAGTTGTCTTGCCTAGTCCACCCATTCCAACGATGGGAATAACAAAGTCTTGTTCAAGATTGCCTCCATCTTCTAGCAACCTTTGAAGAATAACATCTTTATCACTATCTCGACCCAACACCTTATCCTCAGGAAGTGAAGACTCAGGCACTTTTTTTGCAATTACTTTGTGGGACCTTTCTTCAACTTTCATATTCAAATTGAACAGGCCAAAAGTATGCATCCCCTTTTCAAAACGCTCGAATCTAACTTTCAGATAATTCACCATGGAATCAATCTTTTGATTGGGTTTGGCCTTAGATGTAAACAAATTCATGATATTAAATAAATTCATGATATTGGAGGGGAACTTTTGTTGTTTGTTGGCTCTAGCATTAGGTTCTGCAGTCAATTCGGACCTCCTGGCATCAATCACAAACTCTTCAAGTATGTCCTCCATATCATAAGCCAAGTCCTTAAGATCATCAAGATATGACTTCACAAACATGTTGGCGCCTTGATTTTCTTCTGCATGTTGAAGTATAGCTGTGATTTTAGACAAAAGAGTCTTCCAGCTTTCCATCTCGGCGCGTACTTCCTCCTCTGAATCCTGTAGCTGATCACTTATATATCCAATCAACTGATCACTTATATATCCATTCAACTTTTCACGTAGCAAGTCAAATGTATCAGATAAAAGAAAACCTCCAGCATAAGATAAGAACTCCATTGGATGGAACAGCTTTCCTACAGAAGAGAAAGAAATGGATTGAAATACAAATTAGCCTAATCTATTGAATACCTCACACTATTATCAAATTAGTATTTTATCTTAATAGATTGATTTAATTAGTTTCGCGTGTTGAAGTTAAAAATAGCAAAGATGATAGAAAGCAATAAAAATATATATCAGAGTGTGATTTAGATCTTTCTAAAAATATTAATTAAAAAGTATTAGTACACATATACATACCTTAATTATGTTGTAGCTGCTTTTTCTTTTTCACTGATGGTCGAAGCTAAAAAGTAGTAGTTTTTTTGTAGGGAGACCAGTTAAACTTAATTTGGTAGAATATTCAGAAATCTGTGTCAAACAAATAAAATATTGTGTCAAAGCAAATAAAATATTAAATTGAAAGGGACCATAAAACAATAATTAGGAAAGAAAATTTAATCATCATTATATTAATTAAAAACAAACCTTAATTAAGAATAATTGGATACTCTAATGAATTAAAACACAATCAATAAAAAATTCTAAAATAAAGATATATTTAAACAGGACTAATTAAAACACTTAATATTATTTGTCTGATT